TACCCCCTGAAACAAGCTCTTCAGCGCAGGCAGTTATGGCTGCAGTTCCTGTGCTGTTAACACTTTTTTCCTGTTGCATGTAGTTCAAGATCCTAGAAACGTTCATCATTTATAGTGTGTTGTTACTTAATTGCTTTGCTCGGTGTTACAGTTTGGTTAGTGATAAATTGTAAATACTCTCTACTCTCTTGGGCTTCCTGAGTCAGGGAATGACAAGCATGTTCACATAGGTGGCTCCTTCAGGCTCATTTGGGAAGTGCTGCTCTGCTGGTAGGATTAGTGGCACAGCCTTGGAGTGGGGAAGCATCCCCTAGTGTACCTTGTGCTGGCAATGGATTTAACTTACTGCTGTTATGTAGCCCCTCCAGACATCAGCTCAGTTTTCCACTAGACACTGTCCGCATTTAGATGAAAAGGTTGCTCTTAACTTCAGTTTACAATTTAAATGCAAAGCATTTTTCGTGCTGCTTTGCCAGCACTTCCTTCTTGTGCTGTGAAAAGTGATTGTGAAATGATTAATAGCCAAACCTTATTATGTCTTGTTAATAGTGTAATCCCATTGTCATGTCACATCCTCTCATCTTGATCCAAATTTTGTCTGCTGATCTAATTAGGTTTTTCATTTGTTCCTGGCAAATTTCTGGCTCTTGGAGTCGTTGGGCTGGCTCTTGAGACTGCTGAGGTGGAATGATCCATATGGTTCCTAGTGGCTTTAAACAGAAACATCTGTCAGAAACAAGCAATTTGGTGGCTGAGTTTAGCATTCAGTAAAGTTGCATCTGACAGCACTGCTCTTGCTTCTGAGTGACTTCAGTCAGCGAGAACAGCTATTAGGGGCTGTGAGCTCAGCAGAGATCACCTGTCGCTAGCAGGGTCTCTAGAAGGCATCATGCTCTCTGGTAACCTGCACTTGAAAATTGAAAGTTCACACAGACAATGCTAACACATTTCCATTCCTCGGTCATGTTTCCCTCCCTTTGTTGGAGAGGAGACTTCAGGAACCATATCTTTATCTTGCTGTCTGAAGATCAGCTTTATCTTATTTTACAGTCATCAGGGACTGATGCTGAAGCGTAAAGCTAAGTGTTTAAATACTATCCTGAACAGTGACAATCTCCTGTAAATTAGAGTCTAATTTAACCTGTCTGGAAGGAGTGTATATGTAGTGTATATATGAAAACTACATTTGTGTGCACACATATATAAATAAAACCAACTGCCTCTTTCCTTTTATCATCATAGGTTGCTTTGTGCCAGACATCCTTAAGCAGTATAGTTTTGAAAGAGAAGTTCAAGCCAGTGACAGCATTCTTAAATCAAAGGGAGTGGCATTGAGGCAGTGAGACAGGGGTGATTGTCAGTGCGTTTCCTTCCTTGGGCCATATGTCCTCAGACAACAGCAGGAGTCACTAGGCAAGAGTCTTTAGCTTGTGGATTTGTCAGATCAAATTGTGGTCACAGGCCTGCTCATGAACCTGCAAGGAAATGCAGACACCGCAATTCCATTGTAATCCTGTTTGCTGCAGATGGGTCACACAACATCACAGTCATCTGCTAGGACAGCAGCTTTCCCGGGCTTGTGGTGGCTCCAGCACTGCTCATGAAGAGCTGTGCAGGCTTCTGCTGTGTGCTGCCATGCAAGGAAGACCAAAATGCTGCTCTCCTGAGGCTGAGACATGAACCAATGTACAGCCTGCTGAGGGCAGAGAAAGTAGCTGCGTGCCCACACATTGCCTTCACAGGGCAATTATCTGCCGGAGGGCATTTGGTGAGGCTGCCGGTGTGAGATTGACAACACTGCTGTCAAAATTCTGAGTTAAGCTTTGCTTATCTAAGTAGTCTGCTGCTGTGTGTTGGGGGAGTACTGTTGTGTTGTATCTCCCACTACATAAAGGCAGGGTAAATTAAAATTGGTTGTATGACAAGTCTAGTGTCTCCATGAAATGCTAGGGGTTCAGGAACCTGTCAGCTGCCATGGGGCTGCCGGCCCCTGTCTGTGCACAACCAGGCAGTGCATCTCCATGTGTGTGGCGGGTCAGGCCTCTACACTGTACCTGCTGCCAGGCTGGAAGTGCTGGTGTGGTTGCGGGGCCTTTCCTTTCCACCAGGGCTGGGAGCCTGAGCTGGGTGACCCATAGGTGGAGGTAGTACTGGTTGCTGCTGGTTTCCTATAGTAGCCCTATGCTGGGGCAGAGCTGTGCCTGTAGGACTCCAGCTGAGGGATTTCTCCACTTTCTGATGCTTCAGCTCGCTATCAGTTGATTCTTGTTGTTTGATTGGCCTGGAACACAAGTCCTCACAATCCTGCACTGATCCTGTATTTAAAACAAATGAAAGTACACAAATCCTTGGCTTGTTTTATCATGAAGTTAAGTCTTTTCTGCCTATGAGTGATGCTGCTTGGAGTGATGTATAAAGCACATCCAGTTTATTCTGATCCTCAATATCTGCTCGAGGTTCATGGGTAGTGGGTTGCTGTACTTAGCAAATATTTCCTGCAGAGCATGTGGATTTTGGAGATAACAGCAATGCGTGAAGCAAAAGCATGCAGTTAGTTGTCTTAGTTTTACTTTGCAGGGAAACTTAGGTGTAGCTTAGCTGTGATCCTTAAACATTCCTGCTCTAACTCACAAAGCTGGAACGTTATCATTGGAAAATGGGAACCACGTTTTGTTTTGGTTGTGTTCTGTCTCATGCAGTACTTGGATTAGTCTCTGCCAGGATAAAATCACTTTGAGTTGAGGTACCTTGAATTACAAAGAAACAATCTTGAGTGAAAATGATAAAATGTTTTAATGGAAGAATTGAATTGATCCAAATGTTTTTTGTGAGGATAAGGTTTTCAGTAAGAAGTTTACATGCTGTGGAGGTCATACAAATGTCCACCTTCCAGTTGTGTATCCAGTCACACAAAGATCCCAGGTTTGACTTAGATGATCTCTAGTTACCAAGAAGCTCAGTTACTCTTTGTCTTGTGTGTTTCAGCCCAGGCAGTGGTTTTTATATTGTTCTTGACTAATTAGGCATACTATGTCTAATCTTTTGTGGCTGTTATGAAAAAGGGGAGGAGAACTGATGGATAACACTTAGAGGTTCAATATCAGCTTCTCTTTAAAAGTTCAATTATTACTCATGGGAGACTGCCCAGGCACAAGAAGCAGATGTTATTTTAATGTGTAAATCGATAAAGCTGCCTTGGTTTTCCTGGTGTTATTCCGGTATTGATGTGATTTGTAAAAGTCCTTTTGAAAACAGCATCCTATCTATCTTGGGTGTTCAGTAGGAAGGATGGATCAATTTCCTTAGGAAGATTCTGAAAGAGTATAAAACAAACAGATATGATTAGTGATTCTGCAACCCAAGATTAATCTGAGTATTGATGGTTTCCAATGGGGGGTTTGTATGCTTGTGGAATCTTTGTAGCCAGCTGTGAGCTGTGCTTTGATTAAACACATCTGGCCCCAGTTGATTGAGAAAGGCCTGGGAAATCCTGAGTTCAGGATGGTCCACCCAGTATTCCTTCTGACTTGAGACTTCCCCGGCCATTGACTTTTTACTCAAACTTTACCTTATTTGGGGAGAGGGAATTAAATAATAGTAATATTAAAGAATCAGGTATTAAGGAATAGGGGAAAAACCCCTTAACCTCTTATAATTAATTTTTATCTTGATTATGCTTGATGGCATATTTGGCTGTGGGGCACCCTCAGAAACAAAAGGAGAAAGAGCATCTGTACAGACGACCTCCTGGGGTGAGTGTGTGGGGAGTAGCTGTTCCAGTACAACGGACTATAATGATTATATTTCTGAAATGATTGAGATAATAAATGTTGATACGTAAAAAGAAATGATTCTTTTTTTATTGGCCCATTGAGGCAGGCTATAATTTTTTTTGATGTTCAAGCTCTGATCAGAAATTGAAGTGACATATGGAATCCGAATAGAAATACAGCTCCATGGAATACTTTGTCAGTGGGAAAAAATTGCATATGATCAAGCTGCTGAATTTTTGGCATCGATTACAACAGCATCTTGTGAGCACTGGTGAGAGACATGCCCAGGTTTCAGCAGTGTTGTGCTCTGAATGAATGGAGAATCTCAGAAACTGCATTTCCCTTTTCTGTTCCAAGTACGTGTAGGGGTATTCTGCAGGGTTTGTATTAAATTGAATTGTAATCAGATACAGTTATTATTTAGCTGCCTGGAAAGGTAATTCCTAAGAATGAGAAATTAGGGTGAAATTAATTCTTCTGGAAACTTAGAGCTCTTCAGCCAACCAGATTCTTTGGGATGTTTCACATCTCAGTTCCAGTGCACATTTGAGAAGTACAGGTATCCAGCCTAGACAGAAGTGCCTAGAGCCAGGCTCCAGGAGATGCTGAGTTCTGATCTCCCCTGGCTGCAGCCTATGTTAAGGGGTGTTATACTTTTTTAGAGAGCACAAAGCCAAACCCCAAAGATCTCACAGCCTGCCTAGGTCTGTGCTTGATAAAATAAACCCCTGGGTAATCACACAGTTCTACCTTGAGTAGCATTTTTGATTGAAATTCTGCTGCATCCTGTGATATGCTCCATGCTGGCACGTTCCACAGCAGAGGATCAGTGTGCTGGATGGTGTTCAATGCCTGTGTGAGCACCTACACCCAGACTGACCTCTCAAGAATGTGCTAATCTAAATGAGCCCTCCAGGCCTTTCCTATTTGTAATACTTGCTGTAACTGCTTTTCTATTCTGGTTTAAACCAGGTTTTAAATTCTAGAGTCCTAGAGTGGTGATAATCCATGAGAGGCTGGGCTCAGGCTGAACACCCTCTGGTCAGGTTAAGGAAGTTTAATCACTGACCTTTGTTGTGCTCCAGCTGCAGCCCTATGGAAGTCTAATCCCGCTGCTTTGGAATACTTATTAACTGGATTAAATCTGTGTAGACACTTTACCTATCTTATTCAGAGTAAAGCTGCTATTCAGCTGACTGTAAGAAGGTTGTTGTTGCACACGTTGATACACAGGCTCAGGACAAGGGGTTGTAAATAGGAAGGAACAGACTGACATGTTACAGAGGAAAGTACAAGTAGTGTAGGGTAGGATGGTTATGTGAAATGGGAGTAGCAGTTGTCTGTATATCAGCATTTTTTTATCCATTTGATTGGAACCTGAAGAGATTCTTGCTGTGTCCCTCATGGTACGATTTCTGGGTGTCTCATCCTCTGTTACTGTGTGAGGTTCTTTTGAAGTAAATTCAGTCAGCATCACATCAATTAGAGCTCCATTTTGTTCCTCTGGTTGATGAGAGCCTCCTGCCCCTGTTTGTTCCTGCATCTATGGCACAGATTGCCATCATGTCAAACCAAGTCTGAGTTCTCACTGTCCTGGGTCAGAAAAAACCCAAACCCCTTATCTTGCAGTTCTTAATCTTGATGTTTTCTCCCCAGAAGCTGTAACATCCTGGTGCCCCTGGAGGGGTTTTATAAACAAGCAAGAGCACCTTATGCAAGAAAATGTTCTGCTGGGACTGGTCAGTTGAGTGTAAATTGAAATCATCTGAGATGGCTGACCATTAGCAAGTGAAAACCTGAGACTGCACCGTGAGTTCTGCATCCTTAGCTGCTATGTAGTTGTACTTCAGGATTCTTCATATGAGTCAGGGCCATGTATGCCACTTGAGCAACCTCAGCGTAGGCAGATGGTCCAGCTCAAAGGAGTTAGCAGAAAGAATCCATCAGATGGAGAAGCAGAGAGAAATGATGAAACGGAATTGGTTGATGTGGTAGTGGCTCCTCTTGGCACATCAGCAATCTCTTTGCCTGGAGTGGGCTCCCCAGGTGCCTGATCGTGCCTGCTAGTGAAGTTAATGCCAGTGAGAAGCAGGAGAACCCCAGAAATCAAGCAGAGCCCCAGAAAAAAAGCAAGCCTGTTGCCCCTTCAGAGCCGTTTCTCGATGTTAAGACCCCTTCTCTTTCAAGGTCACTTCAGTCCAGATGCTGCTGGTGTTTTATGGGGCACTGTTTTTCAAGGGGACTGATACTTTACAAAGCTGCTTTATATTTTTTCCTTCATAGTCTGTAAAGCTCTTGCCAGTCTCTCTCTTCTAAGTTTGAAGTGCCATGTGCTCTGTGCTATTCCAAGCTTTTCTTTTGGCAAGGAGAGAAAGGCAGGCCTGTTATGCTGTAATAATAGTTGCCCTCATTCACTGAGGATGCCATGTGTTGTGGTTTCCAGCCAAACATATTTCTGATTGTGTGATACCTAAATCTACTACCCAATATTTTCCATGCTTTAGGTTTCAATAAAAGCCATTCCAAGTTGTGTGTATTCCAAACAGAGTGTGTAATCTCTTTATTATGCCTGGTCTGGCTTGCTGGGCACATGAATAAACCTGGCTGTGTGTCATGATGACTGTTTGTATTGCCTGACAATAATTGGAACAGAGTTAAATAAAATCAGTGTTTTGTCTTTCCTTAGATTGGACTCATCAGCAGATGGGGAATGCTGCCATTCTTTCTTTATTTCTGGCAAGGACCTCCGTGGCTGACAGACTCCTGCTACGATGGAAAGGGATGGTTCAATGAGGTTTAGGGAAGAACTAATAATATGTAATTTACTTCTGTCACACTTGGAATATGGTTTGATTTGATCATTTTAAATGTATTTTTTTTTTAATCTTAAAGGAACCTGCTTTATTACCTACCTCCTGCTTTGACATCTGTGTAGCAAAATGTGAGCGTTTGGAATATGCAAACTAAAATCAAAGTGTAGAATTCCCTTTGAAGCTTAGTTTCTAGCTCTCCCCCCTCCCCACCTTTTAATATTCTGCCTGCCGTAATTTTATTTCTCTGAAATTTTCAGTGTAATTGAAAGAGTGTTGAAGGAACAAAGCAAATATTTACATTGCACAAATGCCACTTGATGTGATTAGTTAAAAGCAGTCTCTTTAAAATTTAATGTGTGTATTAAACACGTGCATGCACACACAGAGAAGCCAGTGGAATAAATTCTGAGTTTAGAGAACCTAGAAGCTTCCAGGCTCTGGAGCCACAGTATCTGGAAAAATATTTTGGGCAGTCTGATCCTTAGGTTTTAAAGGAGAAAACTCATCTCTAACTCACTTCAGGATAGCAAAGCTAAAAGGCATTTAGAGATCTCTAGCGCTGCCTTCTGACTTGATGTGTGTGGTCCTGTAAGGAACCTCCTCTTTAACCTTGGGCTTCTTTATCTAGTGTATTAGATGCTGCATAAAGCATATGTTGGATAATGGCCAATACATAGGCCTGGATAGGTTTGGGGTATTTTTTGTTGGAGTTAAATGAGAAAAAAACCTATTCTCAGCTCTGTGCTGCCTGTCCCTGCCTGGTGCACAGGGACTGCTGGGACAACCCCCTGCCTCAAAGCAGGAGGAGGGCAGAGCTGAAGCTCTGGCTGCCTTGTGCCTGATGCATGATACCTCAATGCAGTGCAAATGAGGCCAATATTCCTTGCTCAGGACTATGTCTAGAGTAACCACATAGCAATTTTTTCCTGTGCTGCTAATGTAGCAACTTACTGGATCTGTTTGTCTTACATGTTCATGGTCAGTCCAGCTTTCAGGTACTGCAGCTGCTGCCGAGCTTTAGCAGATGGATAGCAGTCACACATTTCCTTTCCTCATTTGCCTGAAGCTTAAGGAAATGTTGCTTTTATCTGTTCTTTTTTATGTCTGAGACAGAGATGAATGAGTAGGAGGGATGGGATAGAATATACAAGCTAACTCAGCCAAGTGATCTGAATTATAGGTCCTGGACACAGCAAAGAGATTGCTATTCAGGGACCAACTGATGTTGGCAGACTGTCTGAAGAGAGGGATGATGATTTTCATAGGAAGCTAAATTACTCTCTTTTATTTATTTATGCATTTTTTAATGAATTTGTTTAATGTTTTATGGCAAATTTAGACAAAGTAAACAAGCTGTTTGATTTTTCATCCTTTTGTTCTTTCCTTGATAACTTTACCAAGGATACTCTGATACGGAAACTCATATTTAACCATTCCCAGAGGAAATGAAATCACAGTAAATTGAACAAAGTCTTTCTAGAGTTGCTAGATCTCATGGTTTGTGCCAGACTTTCTCAGACCTTTGATGGACACAGTGACATGGCTTTTCTAGCTTTGGGCTTCTCAGACAACTTCTCCTTGGTCTCTGTGGTCCAAGAGGTGGTGAAGCTGCAGCACCTCACCCCTGTGCTCCAGGGAGGCTGAATAACACATCAGTGGTTGTTCCTCGCTGTGTTCTTATTTGACCCATAAAAAGCCTTGAATAGAAAAGAAGGGGGAGCAGGACAGCTGGGTAGCATGAGAAGAGAGCTGGATTCCTCCAAGTGTTCTATCCAGGGAGATGCTGAAATGTCAGAGAAAGAATTGGACTTGTGGCTTTAACCCTAGAAGTAATGTTTTAAAGTGTTCAAGGCCAGGTTGGATACAGCTTGGAGTAGCCTGGTCTAGTGGAAGGTGCCCCTGCCCATGGCAGGGGGTTGGAAGTGGATGAGCTTTAAGGTCCCCCCTATTCCATTATTTAGGATTCCTGAAAACCTGCATCCCCCTGCTCCATATGTGCCATAGACGCACATTCTGTTGCAGTTGTGATCCACCATCAAAACAGACATTTTTCATAAGCTTTCGTAACAGTATAATGTGCCTTCTGTGGAACTGAGGTGAGGGTCAAGTTTCACCAAACCTGATCTGTCAATTAGAGGAAATAACATTTAAGCCATATTATAAAGGCTGATTTCATGTTACTGATCCAGCACTGTAAATGCTGGATTAGAAGGATATCTTTACAAAATCATAGAGCACAGAGAAGGAGCCATGTAGTGTTTTTGTAACAGGTGCCTCTTTTTCCTGTGATCGTCTTTTAATGTGGCTTTCAAAATTGCTCAGCAGTACAGTATTATTTAGCTTTGCTTTAAATGTTAAAACACATTTCTCTTTTTTCAGCCTAAAGGAGACATTTATATGGAATTAATCCACAAAATCACAAGTAAAGGACCATTAAGTGAGCATAATTCTGGGGGGAAAGTGTGCTTTGAACATTGTTTCCATTATTCAGAATACATGAAGTTTCAGCCCAAATAGACATGAAAGAATATTGAGGAAACTTTGCAAATACGTGAAATTCTGACTTTTACTTTGCTTTTGCTAGCTGTGTCGTGGTTAAGGAAGAAAGGAAAATTGTTAAGAGGCTTTGCCATTGTAAGTGATATAACCATGACCCTATCTTAACTATAGGCATGTGCAAAAGTTCATCAGTAGCCAGTAAATCCACTGAACTTTTAAAATGATGTTCTTTGATACATCAAACTGAAAGGAAAAATGTGCTCTTGAAAGCAGAAGAAAACTTTGTGTATTTGCCCAGTATTAATGACATGAGGTTGTGTTTCTGCTTCAAGATGAAATGATGTGATTGTGTCTAATGGAAAATAGTTTCTTATCACTGCAGGATTGTTAGATTTTACAAATCCCATGCTGCTTCCCATTGATTTTGAAGGTAAGATAATTATAGAGATGTGGAAGTGTAGCCTTACACCTCATGGAGCCCATCATTCAATAACTGTTTCCAATGGGCTTTCTGGCCAACTTTTGAACGTTTTCCTCTCTGCTGGTGTTGCTGGGATTTGCTTTGTTCTAAACAAACCTGCTTACCCTGAGCACTGGGCAGCAGGCTCATTCCATACCATTTGCTGAAGATAATTATGTTCTTTCCAACCCTAATCATTCTATGATTCTGTGTTTTCCTTTATTAGGTGGGACTGCAGCAGTGCTCTACAATCAGATAAGGGCCTTTAGAAAAGGGCAATGTTTGAACCTTGGACACTTGTTCTTCTTCATGAACATGTAAGTGTGGGTCTGCTTTTGTGAATATTCAACCTTAAATCTTTGCAGACTGGCTGTCCATAAACTACAGCAAATCACCCTTTCCTCTGGGGTACAGTGTTCTAGCACATTTTGCCACTGATTTTATAGAGAGGGGAAGTTAATATTTTCTCTTTCCCTCACCTTTTTATAAAGCAGGTGTTTGTGCTTTCTTGCACAACTGTTGGTTTTTAGTAGCTGTCTATTTTTTTCAACTGTGATAGCTTATGAGAAAAAATGGGGAGGGGAATTATTATTGATTTCAATTCCTGCCACTGTTTTGTATTGACAGAGCAGACAAATACAGTAAAAAAGGTGGAGGTGGTAAATCAGAGATGGCTTTTGTAATTGCCTGCTCATATCAGAAGGATTCTTGGCCTGACCTAATGCATTCTTAATCTTTCTTTACAATATGTGAATGTTGCTTACTTAAATGGATTTCAGTTGAAGTAGAATTCTCTAATTAGACATCAACACTAGAGAAATGGAGCATTATCTCCAGTTATTGAATTTTCAGGCAGCCTGTATTAGCAGTCATGCTTCTACCAGTTGGTCTTTAAACATGGAAATAATGCATCCAGAGATTATTGTTCAGAACTATTTTCAATAGTCTAATAGCTTTTTAATTTTTTTAAACAGCTTATATTCATCAGCTGGAGCACAGGATAATCAGATTGACTCCATCAACTCGCTTATTTTGTCCCTCTTAGCTGATGACGGGCTGTATTCAGATATTAAACCGATGGGGAAGCTGTGATTTTATTATTATTTTGGGGATAATCTTATAAGCAGTACCCCATGCAGTCAGTGAGTCAAGGTTGTGGGATTCTCTGGCAAGTAAGACAAGAGTCTTACAGGCTTTACATAAATGTGCAGAGTGGTTTGAGTGATTCTTGGTTACTTTGCTCTGTTGTGCTCTTGTAGACTCATCTATGTAGAGATGATACTGAGCAGCGTATGAGTTCTTGGTGCTTTACCTACACCTTGGTACGGTCTCTGCAGATGCTTTGGGAACAAGACAAAAGGGAGCTTATTTCTTCAGAGACGTCACTTGTAGTCACCAAACCCAGCTGTGATAGGGACAAAGGAGTAAGCATGGGCTCTCCGGTTATCTAGCACTTCTCCTGTTGTGAGACCAGGAGAATGTGCTTCATGGAGGGGTGAATGGAGGAAGCTAGTAACCTCCCCAGACACCTTTTCTTTGGTGCAGCATCCCACAACTCCCTCTGACCTACGTTCCCTATGTAGACAAGCTCTAAATGTTAGCATCTGTCCACTGCAGACAAAATTTTCCACTAGTATTTATATGTTTCTGCCCTTGTTTGGAAGTGCAACATTTTAAGTAACATAATGCCTGGGTGTTGTTGGGAAAAAAGTGTTTGTGGAGTGGTTTAGGACATGCAGAGGCTATGGGGAGTTGGAGCACTGTGTACAAGGCCTAAGGATTATGCACAGACATGCTCAAAGAAAGAAACAGGGACTTCTCATCAAAGCCAACTGCCTCCTTTCAGTTCAGTGCCTGTTGCTTTATGTAATCTTATTGCCTGTCAGCAGCTAAGAGAACTGTTTGTATTTTAGTTGTCCATGTGCCAGCATGGCATCTTGTTGCATATTTTTCTGAAACAGAGGTTTGGGTCATTCTGTAAGTTATATGATAAAGTTACCTTGATATTTCCTTGGTTACAGCTACAGCAGGTAGTAGTGCTTCAACAGCTCAGGGCTATTTTTTCCTCTGCCAAA